ACGCGTCTGACGTCAAAGGTGTGACTCATCCAGAGCCTGCGACCCGCGGTCAGCTGAATGAGGCGTCAGCCTGGATGCACGTGAATGCATGGATGACGAGCGCCGCGTGGATGGTGTAGTCTCGTGCTGCTGCGTCGGCGCCTCCGTCCTGTGGCGTCCACTCTCAATGGCTGTACAGCAGCGAGCTTAGTCGATTCATGCCACCGTATGAGATCCGCGATCCGCTCGAGGAAATTTTTTACTTTTATCAGGCTTTTCTGGCAATGGCTGGCAACAACGTTGTCCATCAAATTTGTGATATCTTGTGTATGTGTGTTGATGTGCAGCATTAGGGTATTGCAATTGATAAACAGGTTATTAAGGGTTGTGCTTGAATGGCATTTTTATGATATTTTTGTTCATACGGCTACTTTTCGTAGCATTGTTGCGTTTCAGCTGAGATGTTAATGATGCAGTTGAAATGTTGACACATGCAGTTGAAGATTGTTATATTCAGCTGAATATTAAAACATTTGGCCGAAAGTTACATGCCTCGTCGTGTGGGAGCTGGTGCTACTCTTGTACCGATGCACTCTGCAGCGCCTGGCCATTGGCGGTGCCACACCGACTAGTCAGTCGGTGCCGGCGCTCCGCCGGGCATCGGCGGCGCGGCGGCGCGCGGCCGAGCGGCGGCCCGCCGGCTCCTGCCAAGCGGCGGCCCCGGCTCCGTCCGCCTGGCCGACCTCGTGACGTGCGGCCGGCCGGCGCCGCCGCCGACCCTTCCGGCTCCCGCACGCGCACGAGACCGAACCGCCGGACGGGGGGGAGAGGGAGGGGGCGCCGGCTGTGGCGCATCGCTGACGGGACGTGACGGGACGCCGCGGCTGGACGGTGACGAGGCCGGGCAGTGACGAGGCGACCGTGAGAACGGACGAGGGAGGCTGTTGATCACGGCAGGCGACTGGTAAGGGGCTGAAGGGAGGATGGGTGTCACCGCCGATGAAGCTCGAGGGAGCGGCGGCGGCGCCTGACCCGTCGGTTATGTGTTGAGGTGGTCTCTGTCGCAGCGGCGGCGGGCTGCTGGACAGAGAAGAGAGGAAACTGTGCTTGGTGATGCGCAGGAGGAAGTCATCGATCAGGAGTAAAGGCAATACGCCGGCCGTAAGTCTGCGGAGTAGTCATCGATCTTCAGGAGATACGTCAGAAGTTAGGCGGAAAAAAGATCGGTGTTTAGAGGGTGAGGAGGACGTCATCGGCGAGCACCCAGCAAGGAAGGCATATGTCGCTACAGGCCAGAGACGGTCCGCGGCTGCCATGGAGAGGGGGGCTCCAGCGCCCGGTGACGGCCACGGAGGGTCCCCGCCTCCCCTCCATTGGGGAGGTGGTCCGCTATCACTGTCCGCCATCAGCTGGCCGGGTCGGACCCCTGCCGCCGCTCCCGTCGGCCCGGCCGGCGCCGCCACGCACCCCCGCCTCTCTGGCGCGCTCGCCGCGGCCGGCCGGCCGACCGTGGTCGGCTCGGTTTCCCCGGCCGTCCCGTTATCGGCGTTGCGTTGCATCAGCTGACTATCGCCGCCGCCAGCCGTGGCTGCTCTGTGCGGCAGCCGCGCGCGGCCCGGCCGCCGTCACCGCGATGGCAGGATAATGTCGTGATAATCCTCGTCCTTAAGCTCGTCCCCCGGTCTTTAAGGTAATCTTCCTTGATATCGAACTTCCGGGCTGCTGTTGTATGCCAAGCCTCCAGAATTCGGCCTTAAATGTTTTGAGATGGCTTGGTGCCGCAGAATCACTCGCGCGGTGCTGTTTAGGAACGGTGTTTTCAAAACAGCAACATCGTTTGAATGTGTGCGTTCCGCGCAGCGCATGCAAATCACCCAACACCGGTGTTTACCGCACCTGTACACCGGGCGCAGGGTTGGGTCTACACCGCCGGGCGCCGGCACTGCGGAGATCCCACGGCATTGCTGCGGCCTCCGGTGAGCCGCCGGGCGCTGGAGACGGACACAACACTGCTTCGTTGGCCGCGTGATCCCGGCTCTTTGTCGCCCCGTCCGGCTGAGGCCGTGATGTCCCGGGTCCCGGTACGCAGGACGGCGACCGTTCTGTGGCGGCGCGTCGACCAGGAGGGATGCCCCGGCTGCGGAGAGGCGGCGTGTGGAGCGCGGCTCGGCGTCTCGACTGAAGTCCGGCCGGGTGGAGCCCTGTGACTCAGAGCAGGGGCTGTGCCCAGTGGCATGCCGGCGTCTTGGGGTTACGTGGGAATGCCGGACGTCAATCTCCGCTTGATTCCACAGCGGGGCTCCGTCTGCACCGCTGACGATGTGGCCTTGTGGGGCTTCCCGACGGCGGTGTTTGCCAGGTGGTGGCGGAAGGCTGGCGGAGGAGCCGTCCGCTGGGAGGTGGTGCGGGGACTGACGGAGGAGCAGTCCGCTGGGAGGTGGTGTGGGGTCTGACGGAGGAGCCGTCCGCTGGGAGGCGATGCGGGGGCTGACGGAGGAGCAGTCCGCTGGGAGGTGGTGTGGGGTCTGACGGAGGAGCCGTCCGCTGGGAGACGGTGCGGGGGCTGACGCAGCACCAGGCTCGCTCCCTGGAGCGCTGACTGCCGGCCTGGCTGGGGCAGCGCTTTGTCGTCCAGGTCTGTGTCGTCCAGTGTGGCTTCCGGGCTGGTTTTTTTTTCTGCGGACCGGTGGCGGCTGCGGCTCGCCGCCGGCCAGGGGCGGCTTCTTCGCATCAGTCGGCTGAGGCTCGCCGGGGCGTCGGTTCGCGCGATCCAGCTTGTCCGGCTGCCGGCGCCGTTCGCTGTGATGACGTGGCGGCTGCGCAGGGGGTTTCACGTGGCGTCGCGCGTCAGCACTGGCGCCGGGCTCGGCTGGCGTGTTGTCGCACCGGCGCACGACCAATGTACCGGCCGCCCGAGCCGACGGCTGGGGCGTACTGTCGCCCGCGCCGACAGCTGTCGCCCGGCAGTTGATAGCACGGACCGTCCGGCGGCGTTCATCACGGCCGCGACCGGAGCGCCGAACGGATCCTGCCGGCCGGCCGAGGGTGGCCCGAGTGCACGGCCGCGGCGCGTCGGACCCGTCCCGGCCGGCCGAGGGTGGCCCGAGTGCACGGCCGCGGCGCGTCGGACCCGTCCCGGCCGGCCGAGGGTGGCCCGAGTGCGCGGCTGCGGCGCGTCGGACCCGTCTCGGCCGGCTGAACGGCGTCCGTCGATACGCCGCCGGCGCAGAGGGGCGAGTCGTTAGGTGGTGAGGAGGCGCCGCTAGTCTTCCGTCCGCCGCAGTCCGCCCTGGTCGCTGCCGGCTGATTTGACTGGCCCACTGGAGGGACTTCGCGGGATCAGCTTGAAGTGGACGCTCACGCAGCGCGGCTCTGCCCGCGGTGGTGAGGTGGAGGGGGACGAAGGCCGTGCAGCGGCTGATTTGACTGGCCCACTGGAGGGGCTTCGCGGGATCAGCTTGAAGTGGACGCTCACGCAGCGCGGCTCTGCCCGCGGTGGGGAGGTGGAGGGGGACGAAGGCCGTGCAGCGGCTGATTTGACTGGCCCACTGGAGGGGCTTCGCAGGATCAGCTTGAAGTGGATGCTCACGCAGCGCGGCTCTGCCCGCGGTGGGGAGGTGGAGGGGGACGAAGGCCGTGCAGCGGCTGATTTGACTGGCCCACTGGAGGGGCTTCGCGGGATCAGCTTGAAGTGGATGCTCACGCAGCGCGGCTCTGCCCGCGGTGGTGAGGTGGAGGGGGACGAAGGCCGTGCAGCGGCTGATTTGACTGGCCCACTGGAGGGGGCTTCGCGGGATCAGCTTGAAGTGGATGCTCACGCAGCGCGGCTCTGCCCGCGGTGGTGAGGTGGAGGGGGACGAAGGCCGTGCAGCGGCTGATTTGACTGGCCCACTGGAGGGGCTTCGCGGGATCAGCTTGAAGTGGATGCTCACGCAGCGCGGCTCTGCCCGCGGTGGTGAGGTGGAGGGGAACGAAGGCCGTGCAGCGGCTGATTTGACTGGCCCGCTGGAGGGGCTTCGCGGGATCAGCTTGAAGTGGACGCTCACTCAGCGCGGCTCTGCCCGCGGTGGGGAGGTGGAGGGGGACGAAGGCCGTGCAGCGGCTGTTTTGACCCCGCTAAGCTGCGGATGGGCGCTCCTGCCTCCCCGATAACCTGCTGGTGGTGACAGAGCGATGTCCAGTATCAGTGACGACCTACCTCGCTGGTCTTCGTGACTCGTGCTTGATCAGATTTTCCCGTCACGTTGAAAGGAGAGCTGTTTCCTGTCTTGTTGGAATCTTTGACACCATTGCGGTGCTGCAGTCTTCTGACAGCTATCCCAGGTGGAGAACGCGTCACGTTTGAGGACTCATTTCCGTTCCATGCACCGATTATGAATGCTACGGCCTTTCCGTGAACGAGGTGATTGCATGTGTCGATTGTAATCCCCCACCGCTGTAAGTGGAGCCTTCGACACTGGTGGTGCCGATTATGAGCCGGCCTCTCGACGGTCGATGTTTGGCATGGCCTCAGCAACACGTTAGCCTCCCGTTCGCGTGCTGGACGCGGGTGCGCGGAGCTGGTCAGATCTCATGGGACGCCGCACCAGTGGCCCCCCGCCGGCTGCTGGCTGAACCCTGAGGGTGCTGGAACGAGCCACACAGCAAGCGCGACTCTGTGGCCGGACCCGTGAGGGCCAAGATATGACAGTTATATAGATATGTATGTATCCATTTTGAAAATTATTATGTTGTCGTTTGTAAGCATCTGACCTGTGTCTTAAACCCGTGCTGTGTCTGATCCGTGTCGCGGATCCCACAAAGCGCTGCAGCAGACGCGTCCGCCCGGCCGCCGACGCCGCTTCTGACCCGCCCCGCCCGCGATGCCGCTTCTGACCGCGCCCTGCCTCCCGACAGATCCTGTCGCAGACGAAGCTGCTGCTGGAGCTGGTGTGCCCGGCGCTGGGCGTGTCGACGCCGCCCGACCTGGAGCGGCTGCTGCGCGTCACATTCGCCCAGTTCTCCCAGAGCGGCCGGCTCCGGCACGGCTCGCCCAGCAGCGCCGACGCCGCCGCCGCCTCCGCCGACGACGGCTTCGACGAGGACGACGACGAGGAGGAGGAGGACGAGGACGAGGACGATCTGGAGCCCGATGAGGATATGGACGAGATGCACATAGAGATGGAGGAGCCCACCGCCGGCGATAAGGACCCGGTGCGTGGGCTGTGGGGCGACGGCTGGCGGGGAGGGTCGCCGTGTCGTAGTTGGGGGAAGACTGGGAGGTGAGACGCATCGTCCTACGAGCGGGGACCTGACGTTCACTCCAGTTGTCGTCGTTTCGACATTGCGCTATCATTGAGAATTCAGCCTGTCTTTAGAAGCGATCCCACTTAACCACGTCGGTGGGCAGAGACCCTCGTGATGACTGGTTTGATTTGCTTAGTGACTGTGTTTTTGTTTCAATTGAACGTCCGCTTCTAATGATAACGTGGCGTTAGATTGATGTAATGCTTGTTGATATTGGCGGTTTGTATAGTTATTTGAATTGAAAGTCGGCTTCCAATGATGATTTGACGTCAGATTTATGTGATGCTTGTTGATAATGGCGAATAGCGCTGCTGGTCGGCGGCGTGTGTGCGTGTGGGGGGGGGGGGGGGGCGTGTCCGCTGCCCGAGCTGACGCCAGCGGGCTGCCGAGCGCAGGACAAGGAGCTGTGTCCGGAGCACCAGCTGGCGCTGGAGCGTCTGCGACAGCACCACTCACGGGAGCTGACGCGCGGGCCCACCACCGGCGGCAGCGTGCAGGCCACAGACCGGCTGATGAAGGAGCTGCGCGATATCTACAGATCGGACAGCTTTAAGAGCGGTCAGTGAGGCGCGCCGGCCGCTGCCCGCGGGGCTGAGAGGCGGCACGGGGGCTGCCCGCGAGGCTGAGAGGTGGCACGGGGGCTGAGGGGCGGCACGGGTGGCCGAGAGTGTCAAGGTGTGGCGTCCTGACGGTTGCGAAGGCGATAAGCCTGGCGTGATGACAGAGGCGGCCTGCGAGCCGTTCCGCCGACACTATGAGTGATGGTCAGCGGGTGTAACGGCAGGCATATTTCCGGCTCGGTGGGCCCGAGAGTGGTCAGGTGATAGTGGGCGCTCGACGCTACCAGTCTTGTAGCCTTGAGCCTTCCCATCTCAGCACGGGGATGGGACGCCCGGGTACCGACGGCTTAGCGGCGTCATTGGCTGCTGATACGAGCGAGAGGAGGGACGTAGTGGAAGTCACTGCCCCGAGCTGGGGGTCAAGCGTACGCGGCGCGGTATGCGAGCAAATCTCTCCAACGACCGACATTGGGCCAGCAGTGTTGAGAGCTGACGTCGGCCCAGCAGTGCTGAGGGCTGACGTCGGCCCAGCAGTGCTGAGAGCTGACGTCGGCCCAGCAGTGCAGAAAGCTGACGTTGGTCCAGGAGAGCTGGGATCTGACCGCTGGCTGGGCGCAGCGCGCTCTGTAACTGTGACGCGACGCTTTGGCAGCTGCCGGGGCCTTGCGACCAGGCCCAGTCAGCCAAGCACGGCAGGCTCACGCTGACAGAGGTAGCCCGCTGTGACAGCCTTCAACAGCTGAGAGCGCACCGATTGTAACAACCGGATATGCAACGTCTTGGTACGGCAGGCGCGGCGTCGTGCATAATGCTGGGTACGGTGTGCCTGAGCCGGACTTAAGCCCAGGGCGTGGCCGGCCTGAGTCCCGGAGGCCGTGCGCAAGCGGTGCTGCGCAAGCCGTAGACTGAGCCCAAACGTGAGCCCGAGCCCGAGCCCGAGCCTGAGCCTGAGCCCGAGCCCGAGCCCAGGCCCGGGCCCGGGCCCTAGCCCGAGCCCGAGCCCGAGCCCGAGCCTGAGCCCGAGCCCGAGTCCGAGTCCGAGTCTGAGCCTGAGGCTGAGCCCGAGCCCGAGCCCGAGCCCGAGCCCGAGCCCGAGCCCGAGCCCGAGCCCGAGCCCGAGCCCGAGCCCGAGCCGGAGCCGGAGCCGGAGCCGGAGCCGGAGCCTTAGCCCGGACTCGAGCCCGAGCCTGCGCCCGAGCCTGAGTCTGAGCCCGAGCCCGAGCCCGAGCCCGGACTCGAGCCCGAGCCCGAGCCCGAGCCCGAGCCCGAGCCCGAGCCCGAACCCGAGCCCGAGCCCGAGCCCGAGCCCAAGCCCAAGCCCAAGCCCAAGCCCAAGCCCAAGCCCGGGCCCGAGCCTGAGCCCGCGCCCGAGCCGGAGTCTAAGCCCAGGCCGGAGTGGAAGCCCGGGCCGAATTCGAACACCGAGTCAGCTGCTTGATGAACCTCATAACCAACAATAGCAATCATGGTGGTTACCCGCCTTACGTGCGGTCGGCGCCGCCGTTGAGCGGTCAATCCGCTCAACAGCGAGCCGCATCCTTGGCCGTGTCGGGATCCAAGGCTCATGGCGCTGCTTCTGTTTTACATCGGGGCGGCGTGTCGCCGACTCAATGCCGTCTATGTTACCCCGGCTCCGTGCCGTTACAGCGGCTGTGGGGTGGATGCCGAGTCTCGTGTCACGTCCTCGGGGGCATGTCTGTCGCAGGTCCCTGGGGTGTGCCCCTGACAGGTCCCTGGGGTGTGCCCCTGACAGGTCCCTGGGGTGTGCCTCTGACGGCCCCCTGGGGGTGTGCCTCCGACAGGTCCCCGGGGGTGTGCCTCTGACAGGTCCCTGGGGGTGTGCCTCTGACAGATCCCAAGGGGTGTGCCTCTGACAGCCCCCTGGGGGTGTGCCTCCGACAGGTCCCCGGGGTGTGCCTCTGACAGGTCCCTAGGGGTGTGCCTCTGACAGCCCCCTGGGGGTGTGCCTCTGACAGGTCCCCGGGAGTGTGCCTCTGACAGGTCCCCTGGGGTGTGCCTCTGACAGGTCCCTGGGGGATGCCTCTGACAGGTCCCTGGGGGTGTGCCTCTGACAGGCCCCCGGGTGTGTGCCTATGACAGGTCCCCGGGGGGGGGGGGGTGCCTATGACAGGTCCCCGGGGGTCTGTGACAGGTCTCCTGGTGTGTGCCTCTGACAGGTTCCCGGAGTGTGCCTCTGACGGTCCCCCGGGGGGCCTGCAACAGGTCCCCGGAGGTGTGTTTGACACAGGTCCCCGAGGGCGCGTCTGTGACAGGTTCCCGGGGTGTGTCTGCCGCAGGCCTCCGGAGCATGTCTGTCATAGGTCCCCAGAGGCGTATCTGAGACGCAGATTGAGCGCTGTTGGCGGTGACGCGGTCCCAGTGTCGTGCTGGCGCCTCCGGTACGCGTCTCTGTGCCGGCTGGCCCCGGCCCATCTGATGGGCGTTATTGCGCCGGACGCCGCCGGGCGCGGCTCGGCGCTGGACCAGAATAGCGGCCGGCAACGGTTCTGGAGTACCGTCCGCCGGGGCCCCGTCCGTGGGGGGGAGGGGGGAGGGGAGGGACACTGTTGATACCGTACCCCGGCGATGTGTGCTTGCCGCCGCGCTCTGGGGCTGGGCTTTATTATTTTTATGTAAGTGTAGTGCAAGTTGCAGGGTACTTCGGCGCTTAACTCGTGCTGTGTAGAGCCAGCACGCACACAGAAATGAACTGTGTGCCGTAGTGCATAATCGTGTGTGCACACGATTGGCATGTTTATCGAAAATTGCTGCTCGCATTACATGCAGGGCCATCCGCTGCAACACTGGTTCCGCTTTTAATGGCTTACGTGTCATTGTTGCCGGGCTCCGGGAGCCAGGGCACGTTCGATCCGCCGATCCTACGCCGCCGTCCGCGGCGGGGAGCCGAGGCTGCCTGCGTCTGAGTCACGTCATCAGCGCCGTCTGAATGACGTCATTCGCGCCGTCGGGCTGGAGTGGACCTTTTGTCGCGCGCTCCTCACCCCCGCCCCCTCCGCTCGGCAGGCTCGTTCAAGGTGGACCTGCAGAACGACAGTCTGTACGACTGGAACGTCAAGATCTACAAGGTGGACCCGGACTCGCACTTATACAGCGACCTGCGCCAGCTCAAGGACAAGGAGGGCATCGACCACATCCTGCTGAACCTGGTGTTCGAGGTGGGTGGGCGCGCGCCGACCGAGGCCGCAGTGGCAGCGTCAGGCATGACTGCTGTATCTGTATCGGGCATATTTGTCCGATACACGTGTTCGCATAGCTTCGTCCCGTTTTGGTGGCATCTGCGTTATCAGGCTTCTCTCCTTGTCATGGAGAAAAAGGAGCTCACGTGTCGTTCTGGAGTGGGACCCACTCCCTGGAAACAGCGCCGGGTGGCTCGGGCCGATGTGCCGGTAGCCGGTGGCTTGGGCCGATGTGCCGGTAGCCGGTGGCTTGGGCCGATGTGCCGGTAGCCGGTGGCTTGGGCCGAGGTGCCGGTAGCCGGTGGCTTGGGCCGATGTGCCGGTAGCCGGTGGCTTGGGCCGATGTGCCGGTAGCCGGTGGCTCGGGCCGATGTGCCGGTAGCCGGTGGCTTGGACCGATGTGCCGGTAGCCGGTGGTTCGGGCCGATGTGCCGGTAGCCGGTGGCTTGGGCCGAGGTGCCGGTAGCCGGTGGTTTGGGCCGATGTGCCGGTAGCCGGTGGCTCGGGCCGATGTGCCGGTAGCCGGTGGCTTGGGCCGAGGTGCCGGTAGCCGGTGGCTTGGGCCGAGGTGCCGGTAGCCGGTGGTTTGGGCCGATGTGCCGGTAGCCGGTGGCTTGGGCCGATGTGGCGGTAGCCGGTGGCTTGGGCCGATGTGCCGGTAGCCGGTGGCTTGGGCCGATGTGCCGGTAGCCGGTGACTTAGGTCTTCTGAGGTCGGAGGTTGCCATGTCGGATGGCATACGCTCAACCTAAGGGGTTCAGGCCTTCAGCTCCTCATTCTCGTGTATAACACGGTCGTCTGTTTTGCATCGCGCCGCGTGCCGACCATCCTTGCGACGCCCATATGACATACAGAATTTCTTCACGGCATGCGATCCGGAGCCGGCGCGTCTGATGCCGACTTGTGTTGCTGGCTTCGGGTGATCCCTGGCCGGTGGTTGGGCTGTATCCCTGGGACATTTCAGCCAATGTCACGCGGCCGCCCGACATGCCGCTCCGCCCAGTGCTGTGTCGTGCCGTACCCGTGAAGCTATCAAAGTAATCGCATGTGATTTAACTAATAGGAACAGCTGTTTGGCAACAAATAACGCTCCATGCTACCGCAGTCACCAATTACACGGAACCGGGAAACATTCGTGCCGACCGTGTTCTCATTGCACTGAACACTGGTGTGGTGCTGCTCTTTGTACGGTTGGTGTCTTCCATCTCAGCTGGTCCCAAGCATAAGGGTTGTAATGTACCCACGCGTGCCCCCCCCCCCCCCCCCCCTCTTTTCCGTCGGTGCGGCGCCTGCCCCTGCCCCCGCCCCCGCCGCCACCGCTGCCGCCCGCTAACCGAACGCCCGCCGCCGCAGGACAACTACCCGTTCGAGCCTCCGTTCGTGCGCGTCGTGTATCCGGTGATGCAGAACGGCTACGTGCTGCTGGGGGGCGCACTCTGCATGGAGCTGCTGACCAAGCAGGGCTGGACGTCGGCCTACACGGTGGAGGCCATCATCATGCAGATCACCGCCACCCTGGTCAAAGGCAAGGCGCGCATCAACCAGGGCGCCTACAAGGTGAGGCACGCGCCGGCGCGCGGCCGCCGACCGAGTCCGTCCTGCGGACCAGCGGTGGCGGCGGGCGTCCAGGGCAGTGGCCTGGGTGGGAGGAGAGGGTGGAGTGCAGGTGCCTGCTGTGGAGCGTGCTTCGTCTGTAGGCGCGATGCACTGTAGGCGTGTGGTCGCGACACACTGTGAGCGCCTGTAAGCGTGTGTGCGGAACTCGCTGTTACCACCGCGCTATGAGAGCTTGATCACCGCCGGAGGTGCTCTGGGCTGTCGACGCGCGTGACACCTCGTTGAGCCGATATTGAACCACTCGTGAAGGATCCCCTCGAGGATGAGGAGTGGGGAGGGGCCGCGGAAGGACTGCGTGCTCAGATGCTTCTGCTTATGTTTGTATATTGGCTGGGTATGGGAACGCTGCGAAGAAGGCGGACGGGTGGGGAGGGAGGAGGAGGACTGGACCCGCTGACGTCAGCTGCTGCGTGCTGAGTTTCCTCACGAAGTGCAGGCTTGACGCGGGTATAACGCATGTCATGTGCAGAGGCGAGACGGCACTTCCACTTGGCGGTGTTGCACAGCAACCATACGCAGGGGAACAGCGGCCCACACGTGGCATGTGTTGTCATGACACGTGCTTGTAGTTGCGAGTCACCTAGACATTTCCACCGTCCCGAGTGTGATATGTTGTTGGCTTGTTGCGGCCAAGGTCAGCATCGCGGCCCCTGGGTTTGGTTGGGGTTTTTCTTCGTCCTTGGTGCCCCCCCCCCCCCCAAATATGGTTTTAGTAAAGTTCGTCTGCGGCGGAAGGAACGATCACTGGGTCGATCGCTGCAGCATTGGGTCACTGCATCTATTTCGCCTTTCCGCAAATCCCCCCCCCCCCATGCCATTTTCGTTTTGTATTTGCTGTACGGTGTCAGTGCTGTTATGGCAACCGTATTTCGTAATTCGTGTTTGAAGGACGTGTTTGATATATAAACACCACAAAGGTATAAAAGGTTGCAAGTATGCCCATCTCCTGGGCTGTGAAAACAAGACTTCGAAACCCTACGGAGCCATTGATTAAGCTGCTTTCTCCTCGTTTAGGGTTGGCGAATGGCGAACTGACCATGAAACAGCCAATCTTACGTTCTTCGCGTACCCAGACATGTCCCAGACAAGGACTGGATTCATGGGCGGGATAGTTTTTAATGGCGTGCCTAATCCACGCATTGTGATGGCTCAGGTGTCATTTTCCTTTGCTCCCTCCATTCGCCTTTTCGTGTTACACCGGGCTTGCGAAATTTGGGCTTTAGCCTTCACTATAAGGAGAGTTGGCAGCGTCGGTGCCGACCAGCGGTGCGTCGGCATTGCAGGCCGCGGCGTTACGGTGTCGTTAATGAAGGCAACATTTTCCTTAATATCTGCATGTTTCGTTGAGGTTGAAAAGTGCGCTTGGCTTAGCCACATTTTAGCCTCGTTCACGAGAAAAAGGTTAGAAGTCCTCGTGAAATGTCCAGTCCGTTAAGAAAGCTATCTTCACTGTCGACTGTGATCCGCAGCCGAATTTTTTTGCTGAGTTGTGTGCTTTATTCTGTTGCGCATCGCTCTCCCGCCAGTTTTTTTTTCTTTGTACACTCCCAACACACCGGTGGTTTGGTTTGGCCGTTGGCCCGCTCCCTCTCGATGGATCACCTTGCGCCTCCTCCATTAGCTTTTGTGATCCATGTTGGCGCGAAATAGGTGAAGTGTATTAATGAAACTTGGCTACCGTTGAATTGCACTGGGAGTCCACGTCGTTTTTCTTCGTCAGTCGGTGTCCATTTCTAATGGGTTTGGATCCTGTTTCCGGTCACTCTAGAACTGATGCCGGAGATTCAGATCAGCTTTAGACTCGTTGGACGCGTGTTGTGGATGTAGTGCACGGTTCGGATAGATCCGTGGGAGGAGAGGCTCGTGGAAGCATCATCGCGCCACCGGACTGACCCATGGGCGCCGCGTGACGTCGTGGACAGTCCCTCCACGTAACATCGTCCACCGCGGTGCGGTGATTACCCTCCAGTGTAGGTGCACGCGTGCGTCACTGCGCTGACAGTCTGCCGTGGCTTACAGGGACAGTACAGCCTATCCAGAGCCAAGCAGTCTTTCAAGTCCTTAGTTCAGATCCACGAGAAGAACGGTGAGTGAAGTGATCGTGCCATTTGTCGCGCGCGGCGGGCGGCTCGCGGGCCGATGGCGTCATCTGTGGGATCCGCCCACGAATGTGCTGTGCTGAGCTGGCACTGTGCGTTCTGTTTGATGCTATCTGACCTGAGCTTTATGGAAGAGTACGCGTTGATGGCGTGTCTTCATTGTTTGTTTGTTGTTTTTATCGTGTCTGTGGGCACTGTGTGCTCAGTATCCCAGTGTGCTATCTTACTCCACGAGTCGTCGCGAACCACGTGAATGTGTTACGGTCAGCGACACGCGAGCGGGTTGGCGAATGAGCGACGCGTCACTTAGGCTTGTGTTGCAGGTCATTCTGTGCCCAAATTATCTGTGTATCAGGAAAGACGGTGTTTTCCAGCTGGCATAACTCTTGTCTCCAGACGCCCTGTCCTTCCCCAGGCCTCTTCGACACGTGTGCCCGTTTCAGCGTTTTCCGATCCCATGCGCTCCGTCCCAGTTGTGTTCTAACCCCGTGCACTTGTTCCAGTCGCGTGTTAAACCCGTGCGTCCCGTCCCAGCCGTGTCGTAACTCCGTGCGTCCCGTCCCAGCCGTGTCGTAACTCCGTGCGTCCCGTCCCAGCCGTGTCGTAATCCCATGCGCCCCGCCTCAGCCGTATTCCAACCCCTGCCTCCCATCCCAGGCGTGTTCTTGCCCCGTGCACCCTGTCTCCAGCGGCGTTCTAACCGCATCCGCTGGTCGGCAGGCTGGTTCACGCCCCCCAAGGCGGACGGCTAACGGGGCGGCGGCCGGTCCCGCCCGCGGACCCGGCGAGATCTCCTCCGTGGCGGCCCGCCCGCGCCCGGCCGCGCCGCCTCGTCCGGCGCCGGCGCGCTGACCTCATTACTGTGCGCCCCCGAGCCGCGGGACGCCGCACGGCTCGCCGTCGCGCTCTCGGCGACCGTGGAGGCCGGCGCCGTGCAGCCGGCGGCCGGGCCGACGCTGGCGGCCACCAGGCGTCACTCTGGCTGGCGCCGGCCTCCGGCGAGCGGGCGCTCTTGTACATACCGCCTGGATACGTTTTTGTACGCTAAGATACCTCCTGGGTTCGCGCTGTGCTGGCCTGCCGCGTATATGTGTCGCGCGTGAGTGTCGGGTGAGTGTGGTGGCGCTGTGGCGCGCCGGAGCCCTCCGCAGACACCGGCTCGGTCGCGGAGCAGGCCAGAGCGCGGTCGGCAGCCGTCGCCGCCGCCGCCGCCGCCGTCGCCGACCGAATTCCATGGGTATTGCTGGCGGCGTCAGCTAGCTAGAGCGGCCGCGGAGCCAGCGGCGCCCCCGGCCGCGGCCGCGCGCCGTTTTGTACGTGTAGATAGCTAGTGGGGTGAGTGGGGTGTGCGGACGGACGCACGGGCGGGACCGGGGCGGCGGAGCGCCGGGCGGCAGCCGACGGCTCGCCGCGCCCTCTGTGCGCCGGTGGGCTGACGTCAGCCTGTGAGGGAGGAGGCGGCGCTCGAGCTGGTGTGCGCCCTCGGGAGGCTGCTCCCCGAGCCCGGCCCGACGGTGGAGCCCGGCGGGCCAGCCACGCGCCCATGTGGCCGGGGCAGCGGCGCACGGCCGGTGTCCGTTCGCGCGTGTCCCCGTGCTGTGTGCGCGTGTGTGTGTTCGTGTGCCAGGTCTGTGTGCCAGACAGTGTACAACCCTTTCAATCGTCTCTCCTCGGATAACTCTGATGGCGGCGCTCCGTGCGCCGACACGTCTTCGCACGGTGTGAGGCAGAACTTAACGGACGGTCGTCAGCACATCTCCTTGTGTGTGTGTGTGTGTCTTGTGATTCGGTCTTATCCTTAGTTGGTACGGATAGTCGAAAAGCACCCCACGCCCACCCCCCACTGTAGTGAATAGGCGGAGTTATTTTTGATAAGGGACTCTGTATTGATTGGTGTGGCCGCACGAGCTGAATGTGTCGCAGCGGCCGCGTGCGGCCGAACTGCCTTCCTTTGTCGTGCACCTGTACAGAAATTTCTACTGGGCGCTCTAACCATTGCGACAACTTCAAGTTACTCTTTGATTTGAACTGGCCACGTTTGATGGCTTTAGAGCCCTTTCAATCAACAATGTACTTGTAGACCCCTATGCTGGAATACACCGTTCTGCAAATGTGTGTTGCTGAGGTTGCTGAGGATCGCCGCGATTGAGTCGCGGGAGTCGAGAACAGCTATTGTGCTACTGGTTGAATGTGGTTGGCCGGGGGAGATTAACTAACCGTGCAGTGAGACGGATGTGTTTTGCGAGGTCTGAGAGCCTCGGGTAGTTTGTCTCGGTTGCCATCTGCGCAGATCATTTCACAATGTGCCACCGCGTTCTATTTATTCAATGTTTACAGCCATTGACGCCCGACGCTCGCGCGGACCGAACGGCTAATCAGATGGCCCGGTATGGTGCAGGTGCAGATCCACTGGACCGGGGTGCGTGACCCCCAGCGTGCACGAGACCACGTGGCAAGACGATGCACAATGAATTTAACTTACTCGTGGGGCTGCGAGCCCCCTCCCCCTCGCCCCCCCCCCCTCCCCGCCCCCTCCCTCATCGCTCAGCAAAGGGAACCGCTCCCCCAGCCGGTGACATCTATTGTGAGATGCGCAAAACAGATAACGTCAGATGCACCGCGCGCAGCGTCGCGGGGGTGCAGGCCTGGCGGTGCGCTGAGCGGCCACCAACCTGGCGCCACCTGCCGGCCGCGATCGGCCCTGACCCGGTGCTCGGGCAGCGGTCATTGACTGCCACACACTGGCGGCGGCCCTACCAGGTCCGTCTTCACCCGGCGCCTCCACCGCCCGGCGACCGACACCTACTGGCTGTGTCTGCTCGGCTGTATCTGCCGATTCTTGCGACGCTCAGACGGGGCGTTGAGTCTCCACGCGCTCGGATCCCGGCCCGAACTCCGGCCCGCCCCTGACCGCTGCCTTCCGCTCGCCATCCGCCGGTGACTACCGTCCGGGTCTGACCGCGCGGCGGCGTGGTCGGCTCGTCCGGCAGGCACGGCCCGGCCGGCCACCGCTCACGCCGTCATCGGCAGCCAGCCGCCGTACTGCACCGTCTGCGGCCGCAGCTGGAAGCCCCGGCCGGGCGTCATCTGGCTGGCCGCCGCCGCAGGGTCCACGCGCGCGTCGAAGATCACGTCCGTCTGCCGGCCGCCCGCCGCCGCCGCCGCCGCCGCTGGATACCTCACGGACGCCTTGACGTCCACGCTGGCGTGCGTGTCCGCCCCTGGGGGCCGCGCGGGCCGAGAGGGGGCGCGCGCCGCCGGTGCCGGTGGCCCCCCGCGATCCGACCGCTCCGAGAAGGGCTCGAAGAAGAGTGCCGAGTCGAAGCCCTCCCAGTGATTGGTCGGGGCCAGCGGCTGGCGTGGATTGGCTGAGGGATAGATCCAGTTGGTGCGTCGCCGCACCGCCTGGCGCCTGCCGAATGGCCGCCGGACGCCGCGGTGCTTGTCCGCCAGAGGCGCTGTGATCGCCGGTCGCCGGACAAGTCTCGTAAGCGGACGGCGGGCGCGCTGAACGTCAGCGGCCGAGATGCGTTTCAGTAGGACGGCGCGCGGCAGGACCGGCGGTTCAGAGCCATCTCGGGACGACGAGGCGAGGTAGAGCTTCAGGGTGCCGCCGGGCGGCGGCTGGACGAGGCGACCTCTGGGACGGAACGGACTTCGTCTGCGGGACCGGGAATCCATCGTCAGTGGTGGGAGCGGTCAGTGAGTGAGGCACCAGACAAGCACATCGACCTCCGATGAGGGGGGAGCGGGCAGCCCTCCACTCAAAGCTTCATTGGGACGCATCGCCAGTAATCGATGGGAACAAAAGAGCAAACCGCACGGAAGACACTGCTGTATGCACAAAATGAATTGTGTGGAGATGTGCCCCTAACCAAGCGTCACAGATAAAGGATATGAGTGTCTAAACGGTTGAATTTATGTCTTCTAATACCTCACTTTCCTTCCGTTTAGCCAGATAATTTGCTGGAAACGAAAGAGGTACCGTTATAGGTTGCGGTAAGGACCTTTTCGGCTTAAAACAAATGTTTTGACTGCGGGCGTACAGGAACCGATATATTATGCCTTCTCGTTTGGTGTCTAATACGATTTAAATACGTGCCTTACACGCTCCAAAAACGTGTCCGCACCCCCTGAAATAACCAAACTGTATGCTCAAATGCATGCCCGTAAAAACCTTCCCCATCAAGATGACAGCGTTTGACAACAGCCGGTGCTGAAGCCAGCGTGCCCGCTGTGGGCCGGGCTCAGGGGCGAGCCTGACACGGACTCGGCCGGGCCTGTGGGCGGCGCCCGTGGCCGCTGACCTGTGTCGGTGGCCGGCCGGCTGCAGCGGCGTCCACGCCGAGCGCTCCTGGCCGGTCGCCGCCGGCCGCGGTGGCAGACACAGCGTCGGAGCCGCCATTGCCAGCAGGGTCACTGCAGTCCAGAGCTGGTGGAACACGGCCAGGCCCATGACAGGGTCAACAGCGACCGGAGCTTTTGGGGTGTGAACAGACCTGAAGTTCAGCGGGTCACGTATCTCTCGTACGAATGCGTTAACGGTACAGTGCAAAGCCGACCTTGCCCGTGGAAAGCACGAAAAGGCTGGTAGCATTTCCAGGGCTAGACGTTCTTATTTGTACGGTGAGCAGCGTACAGATTCAAAGCATGTCATGCACCACAGTACTTAAGCTACATGCTGCTGGATGTCGGCGCACAGCAAGCATAACGGCGTGCATGCACACAACAGACAGAATAGGTGACTATTCAGCTGTCGTCGCACAGCCAAAACTTGAAGCGCGCATTGTAATAGTTGTTGGGTCCTCGATTGCAGATGTTTGTGTCGCGTTGTATAGTATTGCATAGAGAATACGGCACATGTATTGTTTAGCCATAGGTAATCCGCTGCTCCTGTGCCCCTACGTGACGTGGCATGGCCCAGTAACGTGCAGGCGGAGGGGGCAGGCTCTATCCCACGACATCTGAGAGTCACCGGTCCCATTGTTTCCCGGAAAATGGCGATCGGTTCGCCGAAATGTAGGCCAGATTTATTTTTTAAAAAGGATCGCTTTTAACGAGGGGGCAGGGAATGTCAAAATTCCGGGACAGTTGTCTTCAGTCAGTGCCGCCGCGTACTACTTATATGGCCGCGTCTGCACCTAGCTAACATGGTCCAATAGTTACTGTACGCCTGTTACATTTGAGTAAGTATGAAGACTTAAAAGCCACGGGCGTTTCCAGGCCTTGCAAAGAGGGGGAATATAAAAGAAAACATACAGTTTTTCCATTGTATTTCCTCCACACAATGCGCTTAACAGTCATATGACTGGCATGTCTTAAGCACGAAAAGTCGCATTTATACGAACAAGATGCCACGGCTGGGGTCACGGAGGTGAAGAGGTCACGTCGGGGCGTGACGAATGTTGACGGTCCGTTTCACCGCGTCGATTTTTTCTTACCTGACGATCACTGTTGGCCGAAATAATTATGCTGCTGTGCAATGTTGTATGTCTTGCTTACAACGCACGCAGTTCGTCAAAGGCACATCTAGGGACTTATTTGGCGGCAACGTTAGGAAAACACAATTTCCTGGTGTCATTTCATTATCACGGACGCGTATGACATCCATCTATTTTTTTGTTTGCAAGTAAACGTAAAGCCCCGCCCAGTGATTATCCCTGTGGTGAGGAGGCGAGAGCTTCTGATCTGTGGCATGTGGGTCCGTCATTTTTTATTTCTTCCTCTCCTACGCTGCACCTTCACCAAAACATGCACCTGCCCCAAATTGTCAAATGTTGCCTCCAAGTGCTACGTACACAAACATGCTTTCTGAGTCACCAATAAGGCTCTAAGAGGCAGCTGAGCAGCTCATTGCTTGG